CCAGGGGGCTGGGGGAGCAAGCAGAGGTGGGGTGTGTGGGCCCTGCAGAGGAAGTAGCCCCTGTGTGGGGGAAGAACATGGATTTGGGGGTATTTTACAGAGTGACTTTGGGATTTTTTTTAATCAGGGATTTTTCAGTTTTCCAATAGGGAACACCAGAATTCCTGCTAGGGAGGCCAGTGGCAGAACCCTGCTTGCTCAGAGCTGGCACCTTGGACCCATCTGGCTGTGGCTGCCCAACTGGCAGGAGGACATGCTTTGACAGTTCAAAGCAGGCCACCACACCCAGAACATCTTCCAGGTGATAGCTGCCCAGATGGCTGGGCAGGGGCACATGTGGCAGGAGGGCCACACATAGGCCAACCTTGCAACCACAGCCCACTGGCAGCTGGCCCAGAGGGGCAGATGCCTCATCCAGCATCTGGCAGGCGTGCAGCAGGTCATAGATGGGCAGCAGCCCCCACTGCCAGACTGCTGCAGTGGGTAGAGGGTGCAGGGAACTCTCAGGGCTGCTTCAGCAGTCCAGCTAGCACAAGGGGTAGTGTCCCCAAGTACTAAGTGGCTGGGCCCCAGAAGCTCCTGAGAGCTCATAGCCCTGAAGCTACTTGCTAGGGCAGCTTTTTGTACTGCTGGAGCCAGGACAGGTGCTGGCCCCAGGCTCTAGCTCCTCCTGGCTGCAGATCTGGGAGGAGCCAAGCAGAGTTATTTTGCCCCAAGTAGCACAATTTGCTCCGCTACGAAGTGCATGTCCGAGCATATGTGGAGGCAAAAAGCCCCGGCTCAAATTTGCACCTTTTCTATGTGAGCTCCTGCAAATGCACGTGCTTGCATGGGCCCCATTCAGATTTGATAGTTTTAAACATACCTTTCAGTCACTTTGTCTAGATGTCAATGACTACACAGAATACAAGACAGTGAAAAATAACCATCATGGTCACCATTTGCCAGTTCCAGCATCTTAGAACACTAACTCCATCCATCTCTTATCTTCCTACTGTCTTTCTGCTGCATTTGTGATATACATTCATATATCAAAATATACATACACATACAGAGACATCATTCTACACTCAAAACAAATGCAATTGCTTTTGTGGTAAAAAAGGAAAATTGAATTATCTCCATAAAATGGAGAAAACACATTATTCTCACTTTTGACCCATTTAATTAAAAATGGTGGTGGAGTTCATTTCACATTAAAATGCTCATCTCTGATCCAAAACTAAACATGGCAAAATTTGATCTCAGAAAAGAAGCTTGTGGAGTGATCACAAAGTCCTGGTTTTCCACACCCACTAGAGAGCAATTTTAGTGGGGGGGGCACTAATAAACATTGGACAGTCCCTTGCAGGGGAGCCAGATAGCAACCCACATTATGGCTGCATTTTTCTTTCCCTTACACTTAGTTTCAGACCCTACTTTTCCCCTCCCTACCTTGCCCCTGCCCCTATGAAAGGTAGAATCATGTGAAAATAGGAGGAAGCATTAGAGATACTGACTTTTTGAAGAACACATGGGAAGTAGTAAAATATTTACCTCAAATATGCGCAGAACTTTAGCCAGTGCCCCAACTTCTTCTTTCAGAGAGAAAATCAAAGAGATGAAGCTACTTTCATTTGTGTGTTCTTCAATGTACATAGACTCCTGAAAAATAAAAGAATAGAGGGAAATAGACTGGAAATATAAGGCTCAGTGCTGCTCTGCAGTAATTCCTCCATCAACACAAAGGGAATCTAAAGCTGCTCTGAACAGACATCTGAGGAACCCTCTTCAGGACAGAAGGTGTATCAAGCCAGAGCCGAAATATACTCTGGCCTTACTGCAATGGTTTCTTTCTGTGGGCCTGCTGGGATGATGAACTGGTACATCAGACTAGTACCGGGGTTGGAGCTGGGAAAGAAGAGCAGTAAGAAGACTGCATAGCATTTCTGTCCTGCCTTATCCCTCAGATACAATTAAATTATTAAGCTCATAAATTACTTATTAGCTTTCGTGCACCTGAGAATATGAACTCTTAATATGAGCACCTTTTCATCTGCTGTGAAAAGATATTATTTTAGGTTTTTGTTTCATTCAATAAGCCCCTTAAGATTCAGCACAGCTACAAATCAAGGTGGTCTTATCCAGAGAGCCAATATTATGACCTTACTTAATTCTGCTGAATTGCAACGGGTAAAAAAGTTAAAAGAATGTTGTTGCAACTGTAAAGAATTTCCTGTGAATAAAAACAAGGTGACAAGATATGCTTTCATTTATACAGTATCATAACTAGGGGCGGGCAAGAGGGATATCTGCCTCGGGCATAAAGTTAAGATGAGTGCCCAAAATCACTCCCATCCCCATGAAATCCATGCCCTGACAGCATACCCATGCTGGGAACAGTCCCAAGTGGCTGCCGCTGCTGCTCTAAGAGCAATGGGTAGGGTGGGCCAAGCCCACATGGTGGCAACAGCAGCTTAACGAGGACTGTGTAGGAGATCCTGGAATGGGTAAGACTCCTGCCCTCCCTGGCTCTCGCTCGCATCCCAACCCCACTCTCAGAAGTGCGCACTCACCCCCCGCAGCTTGGCCATAGGGTTTGCTCTGGGCATCAACTCTGCTTGTTACACCACTGCATTAGCATTTCTTAATAACTCCTATTTTATCAAGTTCTGCTTCCTTCAATTATTAAGAAAGACATGTTAGGACGTCTAGCTTTTATGGTACTTACTGGTTCCCATTACCATAGTATATGAGTACCTCTCAATAATTTAATGTATTTACTCTCATAACACACCTATGAGGAAGGAAATATCTGTTATCCCCATTTTACAGGTGAGGAACTGAAGCGTAAGAAACTAAGGGCCAGATTTTCAAATGTGCCTAAAGATACCAAAGAGCACCTAGCTGGATTTTTCAAAGCACGTATATCACCTACACGTGTATCACCTACTGATTTCAGCAGAAGCTAGATGCCTTAAGAACTTCTGAAGCTCCAATAGGGCTTCTATCTGAAAACACCTTGAAATTCATCTGACCCAAGGGGCATGTCTACACAGCCTTCCTCCTGATGCCACTGACAAAAAAAAGCCTCTCCCATTCAAGCACACCACAGACCAGTAAACTACACAGAATTGGTAGCTCAGTTACACACCTGAATATGAACTCCAGGGTTACACAGGAAGTCTGTGGCAAAACAGGGAACTGAACCCCAGTGCCATAAGCCCCTGGCTAGCACCTAGATTGCTGATTTATCCTTTCCATTTCTCTTTGTAATGTTATTCAAGATTGTATTTTCTGGGTCACCTTGTAGCTTTATTTCTCACACCAAACTCCTGGTTAAATTCTTATATACATAATAGTGCCAGGATATACGAAAGACTAATTCTGCAGCAAAAGGAACAACCAGCTTCCTACTTGCACCCAAATAGAAAAGATGGTTCTTTGCAGGACTGTATTTCCCAGTTACACACAGAACAACGATCTTTTAAAAAAACCCTGTTGTTATTTTGCCAAACAATCTTTTCTCATGCTGTTAGCATGAGAACTGTAATTGTGAGAGGTGGATCTCTGCCTAGCTCTACTCCCTGTGGGCCTTAATGGGGCTGGTATAGACAGTAAAAACTATTGAACAGAGGCTGGTTATTTTTTCCTTCTGTGTTCAATATTTGCTCTGCACCTAGCACAGTGATATCCTTAGTCATAACTAGGACCCCTAGGCAGTATGATAATATTATAGCACCTTTTGACTAAGGTTTTCAAATCACCTTGCCATTAGTAACCACAAACATATCACAACACTCTTAGGCAACAGGTAATGGATAGACAGTGGTCATTAGGGTTTAAAACAGCAAATGTTTAATAGCATATGGCAGGACTACTTAAAAGTTTAGGGTGGCAAGAAAAGAATACCACTGCCAAAACAAACTGCTGGAAGAATTTGGATGTAATTACAACTGACGAACATTAGTCTAATTAAGATTTGGCTACAAGGATTAGTAATCTTACTCTTATAGGCACTGTCATTAGCCCTGCAATAAATACAAATGGTCAGGACATGTGCTTTACATTTCACATGAAAGCTACAACCTCAGCAGCACCTCCATAACTGTTGGCAGTATATTGGAGTACTGGTTTTATGCAGAGTTAAAATGAATACTGGCACCTGTCAAGCTGTCAGCACCACGTCCTGCAACATTTATCTGTTCTCTGAGGTGATGTATCCAACTATTGATCCATTCCTGCCTAAGTTACTAAGGCTGAGGGAGAGGGCAATAAACTGTGATATGGTGCCCAGCTAATGAAAGACATTCACTCATGAAGCAATCATGTAACTAAATGATGAAACTGTTCGGTTCAAAAAGGCAAAACAAATATCTAGAGTCTGCCCAAGTCAATGAGGTTTAAATTAGTCAATAAAAAGCATGGTCTTTCTGAAATGGTAGCACCAGATGACTTTGATGTTCTGCACGCAAGGTCCCTTGCAAAATAAATAGGAATTTATTACACAAAAAAAAAATTGAAAACAGAGTTATTACATGAATGTCCGGCAAGTATAGTCAGCATTTGATTTTAATAAACTTTGTTTTAAACAGTTTCAAACTCAGTCAACTTTGCCATTAAAGTGATCTGTTAAGTCAGTGGTGCTCATCATTTTGGTCCTGTGGGCCAACTGGGTGGTGTGTAGCTGGTCCACAGGCCAAATCCAGACTGTACTGCTTCTGCCCAGTCCTGCATGCTGGGATTAGGGCCATGGGACTCTGCATCACTTCCATCTAGCCCCATGTGCCAGGATTAGAACTCTGGGACTGTGACATTGTCTCTGTCGGGCTCTGAGCTCTGGAATTGGCACCCTGGAGTCCCATGATGCCTTCTGCAACGCCCCATGCCTGGAGTTCGGTGCTCAGGGGCCTGCATTGCCCTCTCCCAGCCCTGTACTGGTGTAAGGTCCTGCATCGCCCTGTGCTCTAGATCCAACAAGCAGGGCCCTGGCCTGCAAGACTCCCCACAGATGCATGGGAAGCCCCAGGGGCTGAATGACAAAGCACCAGGGGCTGGATCTGGCCCACAGGCCAGGGGTTGAACATCCCTGTTTTAAGCAAATGTCCCACATTAGAGCACCGCACTGGCCCCCATCCCAGGTTTACATGAACATATATGGCAAAGAGAAAAGTGAGAGTTCAACACCTACACAGTACGCAGTCAGAGGCACAAATCCTGCAAAGCAGCTACAAGGTACTTTTTAGACCATGTTATTTTAAACTCTGCCCCTAGAAATTCTAACCCAAAGCCTGATACATTCTGTTTCGTTCCTGACTTTAACTTATTGAATCAAAATTTTTTTGGACAACTTTTCCATTAAAGAGACTTTTCTGCTCTTCTGAAAAGGTAAATTTGTAGTTCACATAATCAGATCTATTACAATAGACTGTGACACTAATCCTGGAAGCATTCTGTCACATGCTTCACTTTATAATTATAAGCAGACCAGCTAAACTCAGGAAAACTATTCATGAATTAAGAGAAGTTTTTGCCTTAATCATCTGCAAAATGGGGAGATGAAAAGCTTTTTTTTTTCATTGTAGAACAGATGTGTGAAGTGCTTAAGATTCTTATCCCTTTTCTGAGGCTGGGTGCTATGAGTAAGAAATACACCGAAGCGCGCACACCAGTCATAAAGCTTTGAGAAATAAGTACGACCACAGTTTTTGTATGCACTTATTTATGCTGTTTCCTATTTTTAAAATTTTTTGCACTAGGCACAGCAAATTTGGTACAGTTTTCCTTTTATTAACACAAGTAACAGTTCACTCTCTCACAACTGACATGTATGTCTCATTGGCTAATGAGATCAAGCCCTCTACAGCATCCTATAATTCCACAGGATGAGATAGGATAACTTTTTGAAAAGCACTTACATGATTTAGGACTGAGTAAAAGTGACTTAGACATTTTGGGGGCCTATGTCTCTTTAACTTTTGAAAGTGGAATTTGATTTTCTAAGTCACTGAGAAACAAACGTTTTAATGTACTACGGATTTCAATTGGAATTATGATTTCAATTGGAATTAGGTAACTAAATGCCTGTAAAAACCTGATCCCCAGGTGTTCTTGAAAATGTTGCCACAATCTTCTCTTGGTTGATTTTTGAAAATGTATGCAACTTTTTATTTTTTTTTTAAGCAATTCTGCCCTGACTTTAGTTATGTTGCACTGGGGCAAATGAATAAGGAATTTGGTTCTAATATTTCATCTGCAGCATTGATCATAGAATACTTCTGTCACTTTCTTATACAGTAAATATAATGTTCACAGTTTACTGTGAAGCATTCTGAAGCTATGCTTTCAATGTTGGAATGTTAAAATTGGAATTTTAAAAAGGCATGTACAGCCTTAACCCTCTTTATCACAATAAATACATTCTTTTTCTAACATACATATGGAATCCTCCCTAATTTGTTCCTGATCTACTCTTTTCTTCTTCTATATGCTGTATATATACAAATACATTTGGTAAGATTTTATGATTTTGCTCTAACATCTCTCCTCTGTTTTATTGTTAGCCAGATTTTTTTTTGTTATTCTGGCACATCTGTAAATACAATTTACAATAAACAGCAAATCCATTGCCAAAAAGAAGACTGTGCAGAGTACACACTGCACCTGCTAAAACAGCAACCTTGTTTCATTACAACACATAGGTGGATAATACCTAGTGTCTCATCAAAAGATGTACAATGACAGGGGCACAAAGTAGGTGGGAGAAGGAGTTATCCTTCTACCTCCGAGAGTGGTATATTTTCACCTGCTGGGCTAAGAACACCTGCCAATGCCACACTACTTACCAGGAAGGGGTCTCCATTCATTTTGCAGTGTTCTGCCTCCATGTTGAAAAGCCAGTAACACTCAGGCTGAAATGCCCTCTTCTTTCAGGAGTAAAAGCCTTCTGACCTTACCAGGTCTGACAGAGCTGTACTGTGCAAAGGCATTTAAAGTACAGAAGGCAAGGCAGGTCCATCCCTTTCTCACTCCTTTCTTGTTCCCTCCTCCTTCCCAGCTGAGAGTGGACAGATGGGGGGGCGTTTTCCATACACACCCCTGTCCCACCCCCCGCCCACTTCTGGCACAAGGGGTATGAACAGTTACATGAATACAGTAGGAGCAGTGGAGTTCAAATCTCTCCAGAAGTGTCATTTAGCTAATACTCCTTTAGCATCTGGTCTCCCTCTGTGACTATTGTGGGTGGTATGGTCTGAATTAAGATCTTTTCTTTTAGAATAACATTGCATGCTCTTCCCACTGTAGTTGTATGAAGCAAAATTAAGCAGTTTCCATTCCATATCCTTGGTTATTTGAGTGGTAATTGTACAGTATATAACAACAGACAGGGTTTACACTTGGATCTATTTTAATAAGTAAGTCAGTCCAGGGAGGTAATCCAGAGAGTCCACAGTGCCCTGGACATAAAGAAAAGCCTCAAGGACAGAAGAGATAGAAGAAGAGAACTATGACAGCTGAAAGGACCAGAGTGATAATGGGGCAGCAGCAGAACAATCAGAAGAATCAAATGAGGTATGTATCACTTTAAGCATAAAGAAAAGACTGCAAAAGGAACCAAAAAAGAGAACTTTGAGTGCCTCTAAAGATGGTCAGTATTGGGGACTGCAATGAACTGCACAGAACAAAGTTAGAAAAGAAGTATGATGGGAAGGGTGAAGAGATGCTCTAGATTTGAAGCACAGCATAAGAAGGAATAAGAAACAGCAGGTTGACCTACCTTATATGGAAACAGGGGTAAATGTTGAGCTGTACACCAACACAAGCCACACTGAAGTAGAAAACATCAACCTATTTATCTAATGAAGAGAAGTCCTTTGGAATGAAGGAATTGCTTCACTACCCCTTTATCCACTAGAAATGGTTGGGTTGGATGCATGCTAGAGATAAATTACCACCAATTACTTCTGCTTAAAAGTTTGATACATGCTAGCTCTAAATTCACCATCCAGCGTAGGGTGTCAAAGGCCTGCAGCAAGGCACAGCCCTAGACTTCATGAGGGCGGATTTCAATGAGGTAAGGAGACTAGTCAGGGAGGCACTGAGGTTCCGGAGGAGAGGGGAGGGGAGGGGAGTTGGGAGTCCAGGAAGAGTGGTCGTTCCTTAAGGAGACGATCCTCCAAGCCCAAAGGGTGACAATCCCCACGCAGATCAAAGGGGGCAGGAGTGCTGAAAAGCCCCCCATGGCTCACCAAAAGCATCCATGAATGTCTCAAAGCTAAAAAGGAGGCGTACACCCAATGGAAGGGAGGGGCCATCACCAAGGAGGATTATACCTCCATTGCCCGAGATTGTAGGGGGGCTGTTAGGAAGGCTAAGGCAGAGATGGAACTGGGACTAGCAACCCAGATCAAGGATAATAAGAAGTCCTTTTTTAAATACATAGGGGGGTAAAAAGAAGGTACCGGGTAACATAGGGCCTCTGCAGGATACGCTAGGAAATCTGGTGGTCATACCAGACGACAAAGCTAACCTCTTTAACAATTTCTTTGCCTCCATCTTTTTGAGCAGCGACCGGGGCATACCCACCACTGGGATCCCCGATTGACCCATGGGAGGCACAGCCAGGCCCAGGGTCAGTGAGGACCTAGTCAGGCAACTTCTGGTGGGTCTAGACGTGTTCAAGTCAGCAGGTCCTGACGATCTGCACCCCAGAGTGCTGAGGGAATTAGCAGAGGTCATTGCGGGACCCCTGGCACAGCTTTATGAGCACTCATGGTACTCTGGCGAGGTGCTAGAGGACTGGAAAAGGTCCTGTGTGGTCCCCATTTTCCAAAAAAGGGAGGAAGGAGGAGCCAGGAAACTACAGGCCCATTAGTCTTACCTCGGTCCTAGGGAAGCTCTTTGAGAAAATTATCCAGGAGCACATCTGCAAGAGACCAGCAGGGGAGATCATGCTTATGGGCAAGCAACATGGGTTCATTCGAGGCAAGTCCTGTCAGAGCAACCTGGTGGCCTTCTACAACAAGGTCACAAAATCCTTGGATGCAGGTGTCGCTGTGGACATAGTCTTTCTGGACCTTAGGAAGGCCTTCAACACTGTCTCCCACCCCATTCTCATTAAGAAATTAGGCGACTGTGGTTTCAATGCCTACACAGTCAGATGGGTCACAAACTGGCTGGAGGGCCGCACCCAGAGAGTGGTGGTGGATGGGTCTTTTTCGACCTAGAGGGATGTGGGCAGTGGGGTCCCCCAGGGCTCGGTCCTCAGGCCCACACTGTTCAACATCTTCATTAGCGACTTGGACAAGGGGGTGAAAAGCACCTTGTTCAAATTCACGGATGACACTAAGATGTGCGAAGAAGTAGGCACGCTGGAGGAGAGGGACAGGCTGCAACTAGATCTAGACAGGTTACAGGGGTGGGCAGATGAGAACAGGATGGGATTCAATACTGATAAGTGCAAGGTACTGCACCTGGGGAGGAAGAACCAGCAGCATACCTACAGGCTGGGGAACTCCCTTCTCGTCAGCACAGGGGCAGAAAAGGATCTTGGTGTCATTATTGATGCCAAAATGAACATGGGCTGCCAATGTGGGGACGTGGTCAGGAAGGCTAACTGCACCTTGTCATGCATCCACAGATGAGCCGGTCCAAGGAGGTGATCCTCCCCCACTGTGTGACATTGGTCAGGCCGCAGCTGGAGTACTGCATCCAGTTCTGGGCTCTGCATTTCAGGAGGGATGTGGACAGCATCAAGAGGGTCCAGAGGAGGGCCACTTGCATGATCAGGGGGAGAGGAGAGGCTACGGGACTTGAACCTGTTCAGCCTTCACAAGAGAAGGCTGAGAGGGGATTTGGTAGCCATCTACAAACTGGCCAAGGAGGACCAGCAGGCTATGGGAGAGTCCCTGTTCCCCCGAGCACTACTGGGAGTAAAGAGGAATAATGGCCATAAGCTGACAAAGCAGATTCAGGCGCTACTTCACAGTCAGGGTGGCTAGGATCTGGAACCAACTTCCAAGGGAAGTGGTGCTCACTTGTACTCTGGGGGGTTTCAAAAGGAGGCTAGATAATCACCTAGCTGGGGTCATTTGACCCCAGCATTCTTTCCTGCCCATGGCAGGAGGTGGGACTTGATGATCTGCTCAGGTCCCTTCCGACCCTACCTACTATGAAACTATGAAATCACTGCCAATTACTTCTGCTTTAAAATTCTAATAAGTGCCAATTCTAATAGATCACATTTTGACACCCCAATTTAACATCCTAGTATGACTTTGAAAACCAATGGAACTACTTACAGAGGACTTGAGCACAGCTGGTGCTAATAATGAGAGTACTGGGGTCATAATTGCAGTTATTTACTGAACAATGAGCTTCCAAAGTTAAATGACACTTTGGGTGCTGTAAATGCTTCTTCCTTAGGGCATATATTTCTATGGTCTTTTGGTGGCCATGAGCAATACAGGAAATGGTCTTCCAATATGTATAGCAGCCTCCTACCATGAGCTAAAGGGTCAGGCTCTACAGTCCCATGCATATACACACAGGAGTACAAGAGCCCATGCTAACACCAGGACTGGGGATTAGGATGCCCATTTGCCTTCTGTCTTTTTATGGCTTGTTTTGATTTGGGGAAGCAGTGAGGTTGTGGAGGGGCTGTGGAAAAGAGAGGAGCAGTAATTGCAATTACCTGGTGTGAGTGCCATAAAGTGAAACTGTTCTCCTTGAGTCATTTAGCTAACAAGCTCTTCAGAGCAAGAACCTTTATTTTCTTGTTCTTTGCTCATGCAATACATAGCACAAAAGGGTTGTGTCCCACAAGTGAGGTTCTGAGGCACTGCTTCAATACAAATATATAAAGGGGTGTTAACAATAATAACAAACCTATCCAGTGGGCAGAACAGGACTCCAGATTTTCAGATCAGATTTTAAATATTTTAACTAAAATGCCCTAAGTAAAATAAGGCCCCTGTTACTCATTACTTTTAGGCAGCACCTGAAGCTCTTAACCCCTGGATTGTCCTTACATTGACACCTTTAAGTGGCTTAAAGCACTTGTTATTCAACTCAAAGTTATGCCGCTCCAGGACAGGATTATCTCTGATCTGCACAAACCGGTACCTGTTCCATTAATGTGTGGCCACTCCCCACAGATATGTGGCCCAAGATGAAGTCCATTAGTACCCCAGGATGTAATGGCCCCTTCGCCACCCCCCTGTTGTGTGTGCACACCATGCTTCTGTCCCCACCTCCCCAATCAGCCTACCACCACATGGCGGGCAGGCTGATGTGGGGAGAGGGAGAGGCATGGTGTGCACACAGATCCATGATCCCTCTCTCTTCCACACATCATCCCTCTCTCTTCCCTCACCATTATCTTCATCCCTGTAGGTCCTTCATGGCATCAGCCGAAAGGTGACTGCAGCACTTTGCATTTTGCCTGCCAGACTTCCTGCAGCTCCCACCATCCCTGGCACCCATAAAAGCTCCTATCTGCCCAGCATGCTCCACAGCCTTTCTTCTCCCTTCCTTCCCTCAGTGCTGACCCAGCTTTCTTCTAGACAGAGACTATGAACCACACATCCCAGAGGTTTTAATGACAGCTCATCTGAGCCACACATGCACCCAGTGACTGCTGATCCAACCTTTCCCAACCATTTCTGGGCCCCCGCTCCCACCTACCTCATTCTTCCGAGTGCCACCTGCTCTGATCAGGGACAGGGCACTATTTTGTGTTCAAGTTTCCCTTCTCAGCTGGCAGCCTTTCATAGATTCATAGATGTTAGGGTCGGAAGGGACCTCAATAGATCATCGAGTCCGACCCCCTGCATAGGCAGGAAAGAGGGCTGGGGCTAGAAGTGCTAGGCCTTGGTGAGCATCAGGAATATCCAGCCTGGCCAGGAGGCTGAGACACCTGGCTGAAGCAGGGTGCACTGCAAATTCATTATGGAGTGAACCAGGCTCAGGAAAGTCCCATGTGCCCCACATATTGTGATTTTATAAGAAGAGCAAAATGCTCCACCCCAG